CAGTCTTCTATAAATAATGTTGTGTTTCAACTCCATATGGCTTTCCTTTCTTTCTATTACCTGAAAAAAAAATGTAGGCAGGGGTGTGAGCGTCAAACTCAATGAGTAGGGTTAGATAACTCTCTCACCCCACACAATCACCCATATGATATCATAAGTCATTTTAGTCCTCCGACTATTTATATGATCATGCAGTTTATCACACAAATGGCAATACAATAGCAATCACAATAATTATCATCTTCATGTAATCACATCACGTGAAAATTAGTCAGTGGCGTCATTGAAACCCTCGACGAGCTGTACTCTCACATGGCCCATCCTCTCAGACGTGTGCACCCGGGGAGCCAATCCCCCATACGTGGCCGACCAGTCTAATCCTCACATGACCAGTCCTCTCATTGTTTTTATCCGTGGCCGACCAGTCTAATCCTCACATGCTCACATGACCAGTCCTCTCATTGTTTTTCCATTCTCTCTTTTCTTTTCCATACCAACAGGGGGCAACCCGGTCGTCTCCATCAAATCTAGATCCGCCGGCGCACACAACAGGAGGCCAAACTGCGGGCTACCATAAAATCCAGATTATTAGGTGCGCGCAATAAGAAGCCACCCTGTGGTTTCTATATAATCCATGGTATTAGGTGCACACAGGGGCGCCGATCTCCCATTTTCCTGGCCGTCGATCCAATTTTATAATTTCATCATAATCAGGATCCATGATTTATCGACCGTCCTCACAAACCCATGGTGACCCACTTCATCCCAATTCCACACAAACAAGGCGCAACAATATCACAACACAAGTAATCAAATAATTTTTAATATCAACAAATAGTGCAGCACAATATGGCAATTCAACAAAATAATGCATGATAACATTTAGACATTTAGCCGTGAATTGCGTGAATGCATGAATGCAGCGGATGATGCAATATCTAACACTACTCACTCTGTTCTTTATGTCTCTCTAAAAGACTGCCTTGTATAACTGCATGCTTCCAGCCTTTGTCCTCGCATTTCGAATTTTATAAACCTCTAAATAAACAAGAAATTCTATATAAGATATTCATAATTCGAAAAATTGTATTTCACATTCGTTTATTAGTGTTTGTTACCATCTTAATCATTATTAACTTAACTAAATATATATTATTATATATATTGGGTTTTCCTTACTTTATAATATTTATTTCTTATTTTATCACCTTTAAATTAAAAGTTGTAGTTATATCGTTAAGTTAATATTTTAATAATAATATTAATAAGAATACTATATTAATAATAATAATAATATTAATAATAATAATACGATTGATAATATAATATTAATAGCAATAATAATTTTAGTCGTACTACTTATTAAGGATTTCTTTAGTAAGTGTTTCACCGAAAATTCGACAGCATTTTCTCTATAAACTGTACTACCAGATTTTATATTTTTCACATGTCAACACACAGCCCATCCATCGGGCAATTCACATTAACCGATCCCGTTCACTATAACCATCATTATTGTCATCCATCATACACACATAGGCACTTGATAATCCTACCACCAATTAATTTTTAATTTCCATAATATCATTAATTACTTATCTATACCATAAATTATAATTTCTCCTATTTATACTTCTTAAAATTCCGAAAATTAACGTATATAATTATTAGCTAAAATTCTTATTTCAATATCAATATTATAACTAATATTCATGAACTACACATAATATTCAATTTAATCCACTTAAATACTCGATTAATTCATTAATTCATTAAATTCAGGATTTATTCGAAAATTGCGAATTGAGCCTTAGAGTGTACCGATCGAAAATCAGATTTTATTTCCGTGATCCGCGCGAAGAGGAGATCATTCTGCCTCGACGGAGTCTCGCCGGACCGCCGCCGTGCACGCACGGTGGCCGGGAAAGTCGCGGATGCTTAGAAAATTGCAGGTTACCACCACCCGACTCCAATTTTCGTTGAGGAGTCCAAAATCTTTTTACTCTCTCTACATCCTTTTGATTTTCGTTATTGTCCTGCTCTACTCTATTTTTATTCGCTTTATATTTTATATTAAACATGTGTTATTTTATTTTTTCTTGGTATTATCTTAATCGTTTGTTAATCAATTTGTTGAGCCAAGTGGCTCGTTTGGGCCAGAACGGTGTCACAGTTCTCTCCACACCGCCGTCCATGTGGTTTCTCAAAACTCAGGCGAAATCGCACAAATCGGTGGAGGGGAAATGTTCGTGTGGAGGAGAGGAGTTGATCGAGATCATCCCCGGCACCTGAAGTCGACGGAATTGGCGAGATTTGCCAGAAAATTGAAGAGCGGTGCTGTCAGCACAAACAAGCTCGATCCGCGCCGCTGGGGTTCCATCCGCGTGAGAGGAGGCCGGAAACGTGACCTGCAGTGCCAGGCGAGTCAACCGCCACCTCGTTCTCGCTGAACAGTGTCCGGAAACGAGAAGGAGAGGGAGTCGTGCGACTGAAGAAAAAGAAGAAGAAGAGGAAAAATTCGGGGAGTTTGACAAATTCATACATATAAAAGCTCAAATAAAGAGAAGATTCAGCGCTCTTTCTTTATCCAACTTTCTATTTTTCTTTCTTAGGAATTTTTAAAATTTTATTACAGTTTTTTATTATAATTGGAAAATTTAAATATTTTAATTATTAATTTATTATAAATTATCCATATTAAATTATTTAAATTATGGAACCTTATCTATATATATATATAACTTAATTACCTAAAATACTTTATTTGAATTACTTAAATTATAAATTACCTAAAATTTAACTTAAATCAAAACCCATGGTATAGTAAAATTTATAGCAAAATTTAGCTTAAATCAAAATTTAACTTAAATCAAAACAAACAGTATAGTAAAATTTATGGCACGGTACTTTCTTTTTTATTACTTTGGTTTTTATTTTTTTCTTTTATTTGTTGTTCTAAATTTTATTTATAGGTTTTTATACGGAAAGTGTTCTAAATTAACACAATATTTTATTTTCTATATAACTTTTCGTAAAATATATATCATAGGTTTTTTAAATATATTTTTAAAGTTTAATAGCTATGTATAGATTATTATGAATTTGAAAATTTTAAACTATTTTTTATATATATGTTATTTAAATTATCATATCCTAAGTAATTACCATTTAGCAGAATTCCAATATTAATATATGATTTATCATTTATATTATTATAATATTTATTAAATATTTATACATTTATTTTCTTTTTTCATTATTACTGCTAAATTCTCTAATACCTTCTGTTGCTTTATTTCTCAGGCTTACACTGATCTTTTTGAATTTTCTTTTGCCGGAGTCCCGATTTTTCAAACTATAGAATCTTCTTCAACATTTTCCTATTTGCCCAAGTATGCTTATAAAGATCTTATTTTCACAGGCTATATCTCCTTTATAATTTTTAAAATCCACCTAACAGTGCTTGAATTAATCCACCTAGCAGTTGCACTATGAAGCCTTGGGCGAATTTTGTTATCCTTAGCTTTATTATGTTAGGAATTTACGCATTTTATTTACAATTATCTATCTTAAAATACGGTATTTGAGTTGTTATTAAATTATATATTCTAACTAAATCTAGACTTCAATTAGTTTTTTTTATTGAATACAAATTAGTATTATATGACACTAACAACTTTTAAATGGTTTCTTCTCCTTTATTTAGTAATTCGCATTTACACATAATTTTGCAGCTCATCACGTAAAATTTTAACAAAGCATACAAGCATTTACGGTCTGTTTTCTTTCTCTCTGCCTTTTTTATTTTATTTTTATTATTTACCTGCATTGCCTACAATTTTCCTTTGACCAAAAATACTAATTAATAAAATTTTATGCATTTTATTCTATGTCAATAAATGCTAAATGTCCCTAATTCAGTATCATTTTACTAGAATAAATGCTAAACGCTCAAAATGGTGTTTTTATTTTTTATTTTTTTATGTAAGTTTCTTCATACCTTTTCACTCGCCATTCTTCTTTTCTTATTTCGCTAATTTTCTAATTAAATTAAGCCCGACAAAGGCTTAATCATTTTCTAATTAAATTTAAAAGTATGACTATGACAAAACGCTACAGCCGTTAATATATCAATTTCAAACAATACTATAGCAATTATGCTAAAAAAATGAATTAGAAACTTCACATTCTTCACCCGATCTATTTGGGATACGATTGAAACAAGTGCTAAGTGCTGGTTGTTCATCATCTGAGCTCATGTTTCCATGATTTAGATTTCTTGGTACACGTATTTCTGATGATGAAATAGGTCCAAGATGGAGTTGACTAAAACTGCTAAGCCGAAGAGTCTTATAAGCGAGTAGTCGTACGGTTTAAAGGCTAGGATGAAACAGGACACCGTTGACACAGTAGATTGTGGACTAACAGGGTCGTGGTCAAGTGACATGGATGGGCTTAATAAGCCTCAGCACCATTTGACAGCAAATTGGACATGCTTAGGCACTATCCATGGATGGCCAAACAATTTCAAGCCGATTTTATTTTATTTTTATTATTTACCTGCATGCCTGCAATTTTCCTTTGACTAAAAATACTGATCAATAAAATTTTATGCATTTTATTCTATTTCAATAAATGCTAAATGTCCCTAATTCAGTATCATTTTACTGGAATAAATGCTAAACGCTTGAAATGTTGTTTTTATTTTTTATTTTTTTATGTAAGTTTCTTCTTTTCTTTTCAAAGTAATAAATTCTTTAATAATTATAGACGTTATTATTACTATTTGCTGGTTCCAGATATTGAAACAAAACAAATCTATTTAAATTATGATTCCAGATATTGAACTTTTTTTTCTTCTTTAAATTATAACACCAACAAATATATTTGCATTAAACAAACATGCAAAGTATAAATTCAACCAAGTACCAATGTTATTGAAACCAAGTACCAATGCAATCTTCAGAATTTATTGAACCAAAAACTATAAACCAGTCAAATCCAAAAGAAACAACTTCAAACCAGTACAACCACTTCAAGCATACCGTAAACATTTAGTGACCAAGTCTAAGAACAAAAGGGATTCAATGATGCCAGCCTAATCTAGTCTTTATTTCTTCTTTAGGCTGCTCCAATCTATTAATAAAGATGGTCCTTCTCATTCATAAGTTGCAAACTTGGATTGATAGTAGCTTGAGTTGACAAGATTTTTTATTTTTAACCTGCCAATATGAATATCATTGTCAAATATTAGTATAAATCACAACCATTCATCAATGATGTTTTGTATCAAATCAAGAAGAAATGATGCTAAGATTCATTTTTGTAACAGGATCTCATATTTTTTGTTCCAACTATAATTTAGGAATCTAATAAGTAAAAAAACTATAGAATGAAAATTATTGGCTCACCAAAATTCTTACCACCAGTATGAGCTAAGGCCTCAATCAATGGCACACAATGAAGAATGATTGAGCAACGCATATGGCAACTCCACAATTAGCTTTACCATACCCTCAGTAAGACAGCTGAATACTCTCCTATCAAGCAGAATACAAATTTAACATCCATTCACTATATCAATGAAATTTACATCCACCATTTACGTAAAAATTAAATAAATCCATTCTTGTATCTCATTGTTATGTATACATGCCAGTTAGAAAAAGACACCAGAACAATTAAAACCATGGTAAAATAGCATATAAGTGAGCAATCATCTTTCAAAGAGATCAAAACTAAACATTTGACAAAATATACTTTTATCCGCCTAATAACATGTAAGAGATAAATTTCTTGCTACTTTTGGGGTTCAAGAACAATGAATTATGAATATGACAATGAATTATGAATATGATTTTATTTTTCTTTAATTCAGAAATCGAAAAGAACAAAGCAATCATGAAATCACAGACACAAGAGAACTATGGGAGACTCACTAACAGAATTCAACAACTATCACCATAATGAAAATCGAGTTTAAACATCACCCAGCAACAAAATAAATTCATTTATTTTGTGAAAAGAACACAAACCCCAAGTATATCAACATCAGTAAGGTTCATTTAATCGAAGAGAAAGTCATTTGTCTCATATTTGGTCGCTTATTGGCATCTAAATCTATACATCAAAGACAAACCAGCAAGGTTCGTTTGAAAGCTCTTGGAAAAGACATCATAAGATCCGTTTCTAAGCTTATAATTAAATCCGTCTCTAATTCGTTTCTAAATCTGTTGCTATTTACCTGTTTATCTATCTGGCTCCAAACATTACCATATTTCCACATTTATAAATATTCTAATCTTGTCATATTTCTAATCATTTATAAATATTCTAATCTTGTCATATTTCTAATAAAATTAATTTAAAATTAAATAAAGAAAGTTAACATAATATTGACAACAGAAATTGTCTCAAATAGAAATAACAATATGTCTTAAACGTACTATTAAATATGTTAATACAAAGCGAGTAAAGTCAACTTAGATGATATCATCACCGTAAATATCAGCGTGAGTATCTGAAGAAGAGTGCGATCCAGAATGCTCTGAAGTATGAACTGGTGGAGCCATACGTGTCAAATGATTGCGAACAAGCTCTGCAACTTGTTGTTGTAACTGTTGCTGCAACTTTTCTTGCATAATTTGTTGTTGCTGTTAGAACTCTTGTTGATATCGCATCTCCAACTCTTTCATTCATTAGTCTAATATCTTCTTAATTCGAGCATCAATCGAGCATCAATATTTTCACCAGCTTGTTCTTGAAGGCGAGATGTAGCAGAAGAGCTAGAGGTGCTGGAATGACCAAAGAAAAGTGATGCCTACGAACGGAGACTATACACTTGCTACTTCTTCATACCACCAACTTCTTGTAGATATATCTGAGTAGCATCAACTGGGCGTGGTTCACTGGACCCCTCTTCAGCTTGAGATTCAATTTCAACTCTAGATACAACAGCCTCCAGAAAGTAATGATAACATATATAATGATCAGTACTTGCACTTCCATTATTGAAATATAAGGAAAATAATTATAATTTTGGACGTGTCAACTTACAAATGTTTTCTTGGCGATTCCTAGTAATAGGGTCTGAATACTGGTTGTTTATATATAAAAAAAGAAAAAAAAACTATTCCTATGACTATAAATTTTATTAGAATAAATAATACAAAATCCAAGAGAAACCTCCTTAATTCTCATCAAATTAGACAAAAATAACCGAGGGTCTAGAGACTTCTATAAATTGAACCGAAACTCAACTTAAAACATAGCAATTGAACCAAATTGCCTTTAAAAGGCTAATCATAAACTTTGGTTGTTTGGCATAACTATTGGTCTTTGGCATAACTATTGGTGGCCAACCCAAAGAGTTCTATCTTACTTGGTTTGTAATATATTGAAAAAGGTTGAAAGCAAAACTTTCCCACTGAAAAGCTAGACATTTTCGTGGGTGGAAAAAATAACTTGTATTTATTTTCGATGGGTGGAAAAATAACTTTATTTATATGTATTTTATCTTTTTTACCTCTCCATTTTACATATGAATTTAGAGCCTCACAAAATATACTCATAAACTAGAATCTATTCAGAGAAGATTTTTATGCGTAAAGGCCTCGACAGTGAAAAGCCTCTAAACTGGATAGCGTGGATGTTGTAACTAGGGAGAAAAAGCATTATGGGTTAGATATTCAGGTGTTCAAAAATAAGAACAGAACCCTTTTAGGCAAATGGTGGTGCTGGTTCAAATTTGAAAAACATCTTCTTTGGAAACATATTTTGATTTCCATGTATGGGCAAGAGGCTTCCTTAAAACCAATTGTGCAATTCTCAACATAGAGACGTGTAACATTCTGATTTTCATAACATGTTATTTTCATGCATTTCAGTATTTTTAGAGTCTAATTACGCATTAGCATGATTTATTATAAATTATGGATTATTTAAGGTGGAATTATAATGCCATAGCATAGGGGCATTTTCATAATTTGTCATGTTATTAGACCGTGTTTTGGTAATATAGTGTATTTTATGTTAGACAGTCATATATTATATCATGCATATGTGTAATGTTAAATTCCAGCATTTAGATTGAAAAAGACCAATTAAATCTCAACTTTTTTTAATGAGAAAAAAAAAGTTAAAAGACAAACAAAAGTCACATGCCACTACAAAATAAAAATACAGTCTCACACCTTATCCTTATGTAATCTCACACGATAAAAGTGTAACACCCTTTATCCTATGTACAAGCATCCTAAATCAAAGGTTGCACACTACAACTCTACACCTAAATACATGGGATTACACCTCATGCACACATATGCTCCAAGCATGTGAAAAATAATATCACATGGTAAAATATCCTAAAACTTGGCATGTGATGAGGGAAAAAGCCCTAAGAAAATATTTATACACACCATCAAACTTGTACCCAAATAGTACCTCCTCTCTCCTCTCATCTCTCTTATTTTCTCTCAACTTTCTCTCAAAACAAACACCTTGGCCCAACCATTTTTCTCCCATTTTCACCCATCAGCACTTGTTATCTTCTCATGAAATTTGGATTTGTTAATATCCTCAAGAAGATCTTTAAGTTGATGTAAATTTTGTTGCAAGATTCCAAGTAAATCAAGGTGAAACCCTCACTTAACTCTCTACCTCTTTCTCTTTCCTCTTTCTTTTATTTTTCTTTTAAATCTAAGGCTAAAATCATGCACCTCTTTCTTTTATTTTTCTTTTAAATCTAAGGCTAAAATCATGCATAATATGTCACATTCACTATGTTTTACAATAAAATTCATGTTCATGATTTAGCTGGTAAAAATCTCCTCTTTCTTGATTATAAGAGGTGAATTCTCCAAAAAGTAAAGGAAAGGAAATTTTGGAGGGTTGATTTGTTAAGGATTGTATATTTTCAACGTTTTAGAGATTTTTAGGTTATAACTGTTTGATTTCTGTAAAATATGGTTCAGGTTCTTATTTTTATGCCATGTATGTTTAGATCCATGCTTAAGCTTGCTTATTTTTGCATTATCGTGAAGTTATATGATTTTTATGCTCTTTCATTTATGTTGATTTTTCAGTTATTAAGCTTATAATCTTTGAATACATGAGTTGATTATACTATGTGTCAAGTTTGGTGAGATTTGGAGTATATATGATATAATTTTGAGTTAGCCAAACTATCTACTTGGAGATTTATTGTGATTTTATTTTTAATTGTTGTATATGTGTATTTATATTTGTATTTTGATGGTTAATGATGATTTTGTATTATGTGTACTTTATATTTGAATATTTTGTGATGGTTTGAATTGATGATTATCATGACTTTTATTGACAACTTAAATATTGTGTTATTTTTGATAGCTAGTCGGCCACACCTATGAGGAAGTAATTTGAAATCTTTACAAGACTTTGTGGGTTTAATCTAGAAAACATTTATCAAGGACTTGTTTGACACTTTTTCCTATGATTTGGAGGATATAATTGCACCGAATATTGAACTAACTAATGGCGCTTATTAAGGAATTTGATCTGTACATAAAGGATTAATTTATTTAAAAATGTTCCATCTAAATTATTGGACATGTGACTCTTTGTCGACAATTCAAGTTTTATTAAATTGTGTATTGGGACCTTTTAAAATGGTATTAAAATGTGGACCACTATGGTTATTAATCTAGATCACATACATTCTATTTTATTTCCAACGTGGAGACTCAAAATTTCATTACAGATTAATATAAAAACTCCTACGAGCAGCTATGTATTTGTTTGGTGTATGTATGCCATGCAAATGTAATTCAAAGATGTTAATTGCATGATAACAATGTTAATGGATGTTATAGTAAATTAGATTCCATTACTATGGTTACTATACGGATAAATGATAGAGGAGATCAAAACACTACGAACTCCAAACATTACTATGTTTGGTAATGTAATTGAGAAAATTTATGTTTATGTTTGGTAATGTAATGTAATCACCATTTCATTTTTATGTTTTTTTGTAAATATGTAATATAATATAATCAAAACACTATCACCACCAAACATATCGCCATCACTCCTTCGCCACTCCACCACCACCACCACAACCATCACTCTACCACCATCATCACCAACACATCCACCACTCCACCACCACCTCAAACACTACTCCACCACCATCAGTTCGTACTTTATTTTATTTATATGAAAATAATAAATTATAGAATTTGGTTTGACATAATAACTTATCATTTATTTGTGGAATCATATGCTCGGTATAAGTAAATTTTTTATATGAAACTAACGTCAGCAAGATGTGAAATTGTTTATATTGAAATAACTAGTAACGTTCCAGCAGAAGAATGTAATTACTACAAGTTTGATAATAATTTATTTTATTTTATTTGGTCAATAGTAATACACAATAATTTTTTTTCAAACAACAAGTTTTAGACTAACATGAAGTTTTCAAATTTTGCCTAACTTCTACAGCATCAGCACCCCTATCTCATTTTTTACAAAGAAATAGAATTTTATTATCAATCTTTTTCATGTGATTTAGAAGACAATAATCAAATATAATTTGGAATAATAATTCTCATACCCTTTGTGGTATTAAATTTTTTATATTTATTATTCGTTGACTGCCTTTGTTCTTGTCGTAATTAAGACTCGAATTACCAATATTCATAAAAAAATTTAAAAATTCATTATTTTAATTTTCCGTTATAAAAATGAAGTAAATCAAACCTTTTGACTTATTTTAATTTTAAATTCATGGTTTTTAAACCCATTTTTCATACATTTTACCAGTTTCATCTCCACGCATATCTAAAATCCGAGCTTAGAGTTAAGGCATACCTCCGCTACCATGACCAAGATTTAGCAAATAATCATATATTATCAGTAAATTTTTTTCGTATTCATAAACCGAAACCATAATAATCTTGTGCATATTAGTAAATTTCCGGTAAATGAGATAAAATGATCATTCATTATATAATATGTTGATATTGTACAATCTGACGTGGACTGTTAGGATTTAAATTTATTTCTAACAAGTGATTACACTTCACGCTATTTTTATACATATTTCAAATGCATAATTGAATGTATAAAATTCTATAATTACAATATGTCGGTTGGAGTGGTTCTGAGGTCAGCAAATCCGCCAAAGGGTGATGGTGATTGGTCGATTTGGTTGATAGTAGTGGTGGTGGTTGAGGTGGAAGTGGAGGTTGGTTGAGTTTGGTTTGATGTGATGGTCGCGGTAGGTGATTAGGTGGTGAAATTCAGTTTGGTGGTGTGATTGGTGGTGGTGTGAAGTGAGTGCAGGTGACTCGGTCGTCGGCGGTGGAATTTAGTTAGGTGGGATGGTCGATGGTGGTGTCAGCGTGGTGGTTAGTGGATTTAGTGGTTGTTGGTGAGAGAGGATTTGTGGGATGGTTTTGGTAGCAGCTCAGTGTTCAGGGTGGCATGCTGGTTGGTGGTTGGTCTAGTGGTGGAGCGGTTGGTGGTGGTAAGGTGGGGATTAGTGGTGAGTTGAGGTAGGTAGGTAGGAAGGCTAAAGTAGAGCAAGGTATAACGGGTGGATTGGCAACGGTGCATTGGCTGGATTATGGTGGTTTGAGGTGGTTAGTGTTAAAATAGCCTTGCAATTGGTAAAAGTTTTTATAGCCGACACGGTTAACTTTGATGCAATTAGTTTACATTTCTTGTAATGGA